CCTCCAGTGCATCACCTCCGGCCTCCTCTTCCTGCTGGGCCCGCTGACCTGCCCTCTCTGTGTCACAGGGCTGCTGTGTGTCCTGCTGAGTCTCTCCAGAGCCAGAGCCTGGGACTTTCAGCGTGAGTGTGTGGGGAGCAGTGTGTCCACAGCCAGAGCCTGGGAGGGGCCCTGCACCCCAGCCCAGGGAGGAGAGGCCTGGGCATGGAGGCTCAGGGCAGCTCCCCACATCCTGGGATCCTCTTCTGGGGACCACATTGCCCCCTCCCAGCCTCTGACCAGTCTGTGCCCCTACAGCCTGTAACCCCTGGTGCCCTCGTAACTCAGAATGTGTCAACGCCACCGCCTGTCGCTGCAAGCCGGGGTTTGCCTCTTCATCTACAGAGATCTTCACCAACCCCCTGGTCACCTGTCATGGTAAAGAGGCTTGGGTGGGGGGGGCAGAGGCACATCAGAGATTGTCTAGCAGGTGTGAGTCCCTGGGCTAGTCTCCAACTCCAGGGGAAGAAAGGGGGAGAGGTGGAGAGTCATAAGGAGGGAAATGAGATCCAAAGTGTCATTTCCCAGTGTCAGTGGGGGTCATGGGTAAGGGTCAAGGGTTAAAAAGCCTTTGACCTCAAGGCCATCATCAAAGACAGAAAAGAGAAAGGAAATAGTAAGATGGCAGAGAGACCAGGGAAACGCACAGAGAGGACCTGGGCCTCAGGAGTGGGTCTAAGCCTGCCCTTAGGTCTGGGATGCTGACATTGAGCTTGCTCTGGTCCTTGCCATGGTCTGGCCTGACACCATGATTCCCAGGAGGAGTAACTTCCACACATGAGCAGGATTTGCCTCCTTCCAGGAGAAGGTGGTTAAGCAAAGAAAGCTGCTTCCAGCATCCATGGGGCCAGGTGGAATCCAGGAGTGGGTGGGCAGGAGCCAGGACCCATCCCGGGAGATGCTAGTGCCAAGGACACAGAGAGAAAAGGGAAAGTGCATGAATGTAGGAGGTACACAGGGCTAAACTGGGGATCCAGGAGACTCTGAGGACCCAAGGTCCCTATGGGTGCACATTGTGCCATGTGTACATACCTTGGCCAAAGGATCCAGAGGGCTGTATGGAAAGATCTGGGTCCTGGGAAAGGAACAGGGATTCTGACGGGAGGCTCCAGAGGGTCCTGGGAAGCAGCAAAAAACTACCTGGGAGACATATTTCTGCAGCCTCACAACCTGCATCAGTACAGGGAAGGCCTGGGACACACCAGGGCTTGCACACTCCTCGAAACACACACAGGAGTATAGGTCACTGGGTGGCAGCACCGCAGCCCAAGCAGGGCACTAATGGGGGAAAAGGGGGTGGAGATCTGTTTGTGGAGAGCACTGGTCCTGGCTTCAGCAGGAACCAACCCCTCTCTCTATGTCCCCAGATATGGACGAGTGCAGCTCCGGGCAGCATAAGTGCCACCGCTCCACCACCTGCACCAACACCTGGGGGAGTTACTCATGCCAATGCCGCCCAGGCTGGGAGCCAATTCCTGGGAGTGTCAATGGCTTCTACAACAATATCTGCAAAGGTACCCAGCCCTCCCTGACCCCAGAAACTCCCCCACCCCACACACATATGCACACCCACGTGCACATGCTCATACACACCCAGGCACGCACACCTGTACTCCTCCTAATGAACCACTGTCCTGTCCCCGCAGTCATGCCCTTCTTCACCAGGCCTCTGCCCCCTGGAGTCCACAGCCAGGTGAGCGCCCCAGCCAGGACAGGGAGGTGGGGATCCCTGGGGCAGCACCCTGTCCGCCCCTTGGCCCTGAGTTTCCGACTCACCTGTGACCGCCCCCCCCATCTCACCTCCCCAGAGTCTCTCCCGTTTCTTTGAAAAAGTCAAAAATCTGCCCAGGGATTTAAAGTCAGCCATGGCCAAGGACACCATCCAGGTAAGGGCAGGATCCAGGGGAAGCAGGTGGAAACCTCCCACAGAGGGAGGAGGGCAGCTGTGGTCTGGGGGGAGGAGACAGGCCCGAGCACAGTGGGGTCCTGCTCTGAGCTGGCCACTCTCCCAGGACAGGTGGAAGCGGACACTGGGAGACACACACACTGTTGGACACCCACATGCACTGTCTGTCCTCTTGCTCTGATCCTGGTCTTTGTCATCCTTGACAGTCATGAACCAGAGCTGACCTCTAAGGAGCAAGGGCCACCCAGGATGTCCCAAACCATGCTCTCTCTATCCCTAATTGGACAGTGTCTGGGTCTGTTCTCTGGGGCTGAGTGGTCAAAATCTTTGTGTGGTGTTTCTGGCCCAGTTCCACCTACTCTGTGCCCCCATCCCTCCAGGAGATCATGCAGGAGGTGAATGAGCTGCTGGAGACCCCTGAGGACCTAGAGACCCTGCCCCCCTCACAGAAGCACTGCGTGGCCACTCACCTGCTGACAGGCCTGGAGAGTGCTCTGAGAAACCTGAGCAGGGGTCTGCCTGAGGGGACAGCAACCTTCAATTATTCTGCAGGCACACGTAAGTCTCTGGCTCTGCACCAGCCCCTGTTCCTTGCCTCATTCTCTTCTGATCCCACTAGAGCTGAGCAACCACACTGTGTCTTTGCTCTCTGCTCATTTGCTGTCTGTTCTGAAATCAAGAAGTGTGAGTCCTCCACCTTTGTTGATCTTTTCAGCCATGCTTTAACTACTTGGATCTCTTGCAATGCTATGTTAGTTTTTAGGTGAGTTTTCCATCTAAGCAAATTATAATGTTAATGGGCTGTTGGGACATTGATAGGATGACATTGACCCTGTAGATTTCTTTGGAGAGTGTTTCCATCTTACCAATATAATGTTTCCCAATCCATGAACATGAGGTATCTTTCCCTTCATTTAGGGTCTCCTTTCAAAACCTTCAATCGTTCTCTATGTACAAATCCAGAGTTTCTTAGTTAAATTGATTCCTAATATTTGGTTACAGATTGTTGTATCTGTGTTCATAAGCAATAAAGTCTCTTCTTGTGACTTCTTTATCTGCTTTGGGCATAGGAGTAATATTGGCCTTCAGGAATTACCAGGTGGTGTCCCTCTTCTGTTATTTGAAAGAGTTTAAAACTAATTCATGTTCATTCTTCCCTATATGGTTGGTGAATTTCACAATCAAGACCATCTGATTTCAGATGTTCATTTAGGAGATTTTTCATTTTTGCTTCAATCCCTTTACCCATGATAGGTCTCTTTAGATTTTCTACTTCTTCTTGAGTCAGTTTTAGTAGTTTCTGCGTCCCTAAGAATTTCATCTAAGTTTTCTAATTTGTTGGTGCACAATTGTTCCTACAGTTACAATTCTTCATAACTTCAGATTTCATATACATGTGTGTATGCACTCATGTATACACTATATATATATATATATATATATATATATATATATACATACACACACATATATGAAATCTGAGGTTACAAAAGATTATATACATATACATGTGTCTTTATATACACTTGAATATATGTGTGATTATAGTAAATGGGAAGTTAAAGAAACACATGTATATAATGTGACACATGTACATATACAATATTCACATATACACATATATATTCCTAACATATCTCTTCTTCTTCCCATGACTCAGAACTGTCCCTAGAGGTACAGGAGCGAGGAGATGGCAATGTCACCTTGAGTCTGAATCAGGCAAAGATGCAGCTGAACTGGAGTCTGGCACAGGAATCTGATCACAGAGGTAACATCTGAAACGGGGAGAAGGTGGATGTCCACCACACACCAGCACCATACTGTTTGGAAGAGGCCTCAGGGTGGGAAAAGATGCCAAAAATACAGAATTCAAGATTAAAGGATGATGTGGGTGGGAAGAGGTCACTAGAAGAGCGTCCAAAGGGGAGGTTCTGGGGAGTGATGGGGCCACATTCTGTTGTGTGCACCTGTGAATGTGGAGCAGCAAGTCCCACTATTGTGTATCATTATAATACAACAATTCAAAAGGGGGGAGGCCATGTAAGGAGAGGCCCTGGAGGAGACACTGAGACTCACCCGTGGCCTCATCCTGCAGGCCCTTCTGTGGTGGGCTTGGTCTCCACCCCAGGGATGGGCAAGCTGCTGGCCAAGGCTCCCCTGGTCCTGGAGCTTGAGAAGCAGGTGGCTCCCCATGGTACACACAAGGACTCACTGCTGACAGCCTCACCTGTCCTGCTCTCGGATGTCATCTCAGTCTTTTTGAGCAGAAAGGACACCCAGAACCTCAGCTCGCCAGTTACCTTCACCTTCTCCCATCCTGTGAGTGTGGGGGTGTGGGAAGAGCCCCAGGCCCAGGCACACCTTTGTTGTCTGTCTTAACCTTGAGATTCGGTGGGACTCCCTACAGGTGCCCCCCATCTAGGAAATTCAGCCCTTCCCAAGCCAGCCCTAAGGGGTCCAAGCACAAAAAGACCAGCTCACACCTCTGTTCTGTTCCTACAGCTGGTGACCTCTGAGCCAAAGCGTGAAGTGCTCTGTGTCTTTTGGGACCATGGCCAGAATGGATGTGGTCACTGGGCCACTGCAGGCTGCAAAACATTGGGCACCAAAGATGGCAGCACCACCTGCCACTGTACCCGCCTCAGCAGCCATGCAGTCCTCATGGCCAGCTACAACGTGCAGGTGAGAGGCTGCCTTCATCATTGACTGCTGCAAAACAGTTTTATGCAAATGTTGCTGCTTAAGTAAAAACAAATTTGTTATATCACATTTCTGTGGGTCAGCAACCCAGCACAGGGGGGATAGGTTCCTTTCACATGGTCTTACAAGGCTGAAATGATTGCATTGCCCAGGGCTACAGTCTCACCTGGGACTCACGGCCTTCCTCCCAGCTCCCTGGTTGCAGGCAGAATGCAGTTCCCTTCTTTTAGCAGCTTTCAGCAGGGGACCACACTCCCTTCCTAAGAGCCACCCACATTTCCTTCTCATATGATCTCTTGTAGGCCTTCTTCACCAGGCCTCTGCCCCCTGAAGTCAACAGCACGGTGAGCCACCCCAGCCAGGACAGGGAGGTGGGAATCCTGGCATGGCCAAGCATCCACCCCTTGGCCCTGAGCTTCCCACCCACCTGTGACCCCTCATCTCACCTCCCCAGAGACTCGCCCGCTTCTTTGACAAAGTCAACAATCTGCACAGGGATTTCAAGCCAGTTGTGGCCAACGACACCATCCAGGTAAGGGCAGGATCCAGGGGAAGCAGGGGGAGACCTCCCATAGAGGGAGGGGGGCATCGTTGGTCTGGGGGAAGGGGGACAGGCCCAAGCACAGTGGGGTCCTGCTCTGAGCTGGCCACTCTCTCAGGGCAGGTGGAAGCGGACACTGGGAGACACACACACTGTTGGACGCCCACGTGCACTGTCTGTCCTCTTGCTCTGATCCTGGTCTTTGTCATCCTTGACAGTCACGAACCAGGGCTGACCTCTGAGGAGCAAGGGCCACCCAGGGAGTCCCAAACCATGCTCTCTCTATCCCCAACTGGACAGTGTCTGGGTCTGTTCTCTGGGGCTGAGGGGTCAAGCTCTTTTTGTGGTGCCTCTGGTCCGAGTCCACCTGCTCTGTGCCTTCATTTCTCCAGGGGATCATGCAGGAGGTGGATAAGCTGCTGGAGACCCCTGAGGACCTGGAGACCCTGCCCCCCTCACAGAAGCACAACGTGGCCACTCACCTGCTGACAGGCCTGGAGAGTGCCCTGAGACACCTGAGCAGGGCTCTGCCTGAGGGGACAGCAACCTTCAATTATTCTGCAGGCACAGGTAAGTCCCTGGGTCTGCGCCACCCCCTGTTCCTAGCCTCCTCCTCTTCTGATCCCTCTAGAGCTGAGTGGCCACACTGTACCTCAACGTGACTCACATAAATAATCACAACAGTGAAAAAGGCAGAAAACCACAAATAGTACACATGTAGGTAGCAAAATACAAACAGATTCAAAAAGCTAATGTGGAAGAATACAAATGAATCTTTTTAAGTATGCTATGTTTCCTTGTGAAAAAATTCACATAACATAAAATTCACCATTTAAGTTCACCATTTATCATTCACCAAAAAATAAAATATATAAATAAAATCCACCAGTTCAACATTTCAGTGGAATCAAGAACATTCACAAACTAATGCAGCCATCACCTTCGTTTCTAAGACATCTTTCTCCAAAATCAAAAAATATGCCTCAGCTTTCTTCACTCATTCCTCCCACCAACGCTAACATCCACTCACCTGCTTGCTGTCTTAATGGAGTTGCCTGTTCTACCATTTTGTAAAAAGTGGTGTGACCTGTCCGCCTATCTTCTTTCACCTAGAATAATGCTTTTGTAAGCAGAGTTTAGAAAGAATTTATGTTCATCTGTCCCTATATGATTATTGAAATTCAGCCATATGGAATTGGTGAAAATCTGATCTTTCATGTTCATTTAGGAGGTTTTTCATTACTGATTCAATCTCTTTAGCTATTATAGGTCTCTTCAAATTTTCCACTTCTTCTAGAGTCAGTTTTTGTAGTTTCTGTGTCACTAAGAATGTGCCCATTTCATCTCAATTTTCTAATATGTTAGTGAACAATTGCTCCTACTGTTACAATTCTTCATAACTTCAGATTTCATACACATGTATGTATGCACACACATGTATACACAACACATATATACACATACATATAAAATCTGAAATTACAAAGGATTATATATATATATATATATATAATATATATGTATGTGTACACATGTGTGTCTATATATACACATATACATGTGTGTGGTTATACTGAATTGGAAGTTACACATAGGTCCTTGATATATGTGATATACACATGTATATATACAATATCTATACACACACACACACATATATACATATATATATATAATATATATTCCTAACATAACTCTTCTTCTTCCTGTGACTCATAGAACTGTCCCTAGAGGTACAGAAGCAAGGATTTTGCAATGTCACCTTGAGTCTGAATCAGGCAAAGATGCAGCTGAACTGGAATCTGGCACAGGAATCTTGTTACACAGGTAACATCTGAGATGGGGAGAAGGTGGATGTCCACCTTACACCAGTACCATCCTGTTTGGAAAAGGCTTCAGGGTGGGAAAATATGTCCAAGGATGTGAAAAAATACAGAATTAAAGACTAAAGGGTGATGTGGGTGGGAAAAGATCACTACAAGAATGTCCAAAGGGGAGGTTCTGGGGAGTGATCGGGCCACATTCTGTTGTGTGCACCTGTGAATGTGGAGCAGCAAGTCCCACTATTATGTATCATTATAATACAACAATTCAAAAGAGGGGAGGCCATCTAAGGAGGAGGCCCTGGAGGAGACCCTGAGACTCACCCGTGGCTCATCCTGCAGGCCCTTCTGTGGTGGGCTTGGTCTCCACCCCAGGGATGGACAAGCTGCTGGCTGAGGCTCCCCTGATCCTGGATCCTGAGAAGCAGGTGGCTCCCCATGGGACACACAAGGACTTGCTGCCAAGAGTCTCGTCTGTCCTGCTCTCAGATGTCATCTCAGCCTTTTTGAGCAGCAACGACACCCAGAACCTCAGTTCGCCAGTTACCTTCACCTTCTCCCATCCTGTGAGTGGGGGGTGGGAGACCATGGTGTGGGAAGAGCCCCAGGCCCAGGAACACCCTTGTTGTCTATCTTTACCTTGAGGTTCAGGGGGACTCCCCACAGGTGCACCCCACACAGGAAAGCCAGCCCTTCCTGGGTCAGCATCTCTGAGCACAGGAAGACCAGCTCACACCCCTGTCCTGTTACTACAGCTGGTGACACCTGCACCAAGGCATGAGCTGCTCTGTGTCTTCTGGGACCACAGCCAGAATGGGAGTCACTGGACCACTGCAGGCTGCAGGACAGTGAGCACCAGAGGTGGCAGCACCACCTGCCACTGTACCCACCTCAGCAGCTTTGCCATCCTCATGGTCCACTATGATGTGCAGGTGAGAGGCTGCCTTCAGCATCGATTGCTGCAAAACACACTTATGCAAATGTCGCTGCTGAAGTAAAACAAATTTATTCCCTCGCAGTTTCTGTGGGTCAGCAACCCAGCACAGGGGGATGAGTTCCTTGTACAGATTCTAAAAGACTGACATGATCACATCAGCCAGGGCCGCAGTCTCTTCTGGGTCTTGCAGCCCTCCTCCAGCTCCCTGGTTGCAGGCAGAGTCCAGTTCCCTTCTCTTAGCAGCTGTCAGGGGGGACCACACTCAGTTCCTAAGAGCCACCCACATTTCCTCTCCTATGACCCCTGGTCGGCCTTCTCACAAAACACCAGTGTTCCCATCTGAAAACCAGCATGAAAATGTCCCTTATATAGAATCCCTCTCAAGTTTTGAATCTGTTTTCCCAGGAAGAGTCCAGATGTTTAAAGCAATTGCCTGATTACACCAAACCCAGAATAAACTCCCTAATCTAAAAGTCAACAGATCGAGACCCAAATTTCACCTGCAAAATCCCTCTACAGCAGCACCTAGTTTATCAGAGAATTGAAGAATTAGAAGGAGGTTAGTGTAACAGCAGGGGGTGGACATAGGAAGACCAAGTTAGAATTCTGCTTACCACCAGGGTCTGTAAGTCAACCATGGTCAGGTTTCAGGTTTACAAAAAAGGAAGGTCTGGTGAAGGTGGAGGCCAGAGGGGGTCAGGGGAGTCAGGGAGGATGGCTGGACTGGGGGCTGTTTACCTCCTCCTCTAGCCAGGGGAGTGGACACTTCTGCTTCCCCAGGTTCAGACTCTCAGGTGAGCCCACTTATGGGCATTTACTGTGAGCACCTGTGACCATGAGCATGACAAGGATCTCAGCCCAGAGCTTTTTATATATTATGGAAATTAGATTTTGCCTTTACATCACAAGTTCTCAAAATTCAGCACATGTTAATATCACTTGGAGGACTGTTTATTTTTAAGTGCTTTCTTAGGAAACAATTTCTAATTTTTAGATATGTTTCAAGAACAAAAATAAAAGAAATAGATCAGATACTTGGTTAAAGGAAGAAAGTTAATGATGATGGTAACTTAAAATTTACACTTTCCCACCTATTTCTCCAAGTCCTCTTAAAACCGTGAGAAAATGAAAAGAGAACCCCCCCACCCCATTATTCTTTATCCAGAGGTATCTATTTTGAAAGTTTAACCTTCATTTCATTTATCAGGTGTCATTTTTCCCTCTGCTCCTCCTCTGTCCTGCCTCCTAATTTCCCAATTTTGTCTTTACACCAGAGTCTCAAATGTAGGATGCATAAATGTCACCTGCAGGGTTTGTACTTTGTTTTCAAACATTTTCTTTGGAAACCATTTCAAATTTACAGATATGTTGCAAAAACAAAATCCACACAAACAACATCTGTGTGCACTTCATCCAGATGCACCTGCTTTGAATTTTACCTTCATTATTTACCATTTGTACATTTCCCCTCCCTCTTTCCTCTTCTCTCCTCTTCCCCTCAATTACACTGAAAAAGAACTGATGGTGGGCTTTTAAATGTCCTTATGGCTTTAAGATGACTTTCAGAAAGAAGTGGGGGAAAGGTGAATTTTAAGCTACTGTTATCATTCATTTTATTTTTTTAACCAAGTTTCTAATTCTAACTTCACAGGAATTTATGGCCAGTAAGGAACAGGCAGAGCTGGACTGAGGCCAGGGGTGTCTGGGATGGGAGTTTAACACCTGGACACTGAGGTTCAGGTTCTGCCCTGTGGCCTCATGGGACATGGACAGAGGGACCTTCAGCATGAGCTTCACACACATACACACACACACACACACACACACACACTTACATATCAACATACCACCTTTCTGTGCCCCAAAGTCAGGAATCCTCCTTGACTAAGGACTCTACACATCCGGGCCCTTCTAGCCACTTAGCTGCTCCATTCAGAAAACCTAACAGTCCAACCTTCTGAACCTAGATCCCCTCCCCGATCAGCTTCACACCTAGACCTGGTCCCTCTGTTCCTGAATCTGCTGCACTAAATGACACAGATAGCGGAGGGGTTCCTACCCCAGAGCAGGGCACGTTGCTCTGAAGGCTCCTCCCTCTGCCCTAGGACAATGACCCTGTGCTGGACTTCATCACCTGCGTGGGGCTGGGCGTGTCGCTGCTGTGCCTGGTCCTGGCGGCCCTCACCTTCCTCCTATGCAGAGCCATCCAGAACACCAGCACCTCCCTGCACCTGCAGCTCTCGCTCTGCCTCCTGCTGGCCCACCTGCTCTTCCTCACAGCCATCGACAGAACCCAGCCCAAGGTACACAGGTGTCCCTGCCCCGCCCGCCCAGGGGTGCTGAACTCAGGAGCCAGGTCCCAGGGCTCCTAATCAAACAGCCTGGGCCCCGGGGAAGTCCAGAGGAGGTTAATGCCCATTTCACATTGAAGGATTCAATGAGAAAATGAACCCTCTTTACAACCCCATCACCTACATCTCTTGTTGCTTAGCAACAGGGCTTGCATCCTGGGGAAGTTCCTTCATTAGGGGACCCTTAGAATGAACTGACACAAACTCTAGATGGCATCCATCAATCACTGGACGTGGCCTCCTGATTCAATCAGGAGACACAAAATAGGCGATGGGGCTGGCGTCACGCAGCACCCCATTTTACAGTAGACATTTTATACCAGGAGAAAAAGGAGGTTCTACTGAAATTTTAAAATGGTTCATTGAGTCCTTTGTTTACAAAATTCCTATTTGGTTCATTTTTATAATCTGGATTTAGTGAAATCATCCTCCACTTCCTGTATCTCCTCCAAGTTCATTCCTCACATCTTCTTTTAGCTCGTTCAACATTTTAACTAGGAGCTTTCTAAATTCTTCTCCAACATTTCCTCTGCTGTCGTGCCTACAGAGTCAGTTGTTGGATTGCTGTGGGCTGTGTGGTTTGCTCCCTTGCTCTTTTCGGCTGCTTCTAGGTCTGCCCAACTTCTGGGTTGATTATCTTCTCTGCTTTGATTCAAGAAATTACTTAATGAGCTTCTGTCTCTTAAGAGCCCAAGGATGGGTGAATATCCAGCTACTGATACTGTCATTCAATGTGCTCCCACAGCTGTTCCCAGAATCAGCACCATTTGGAGAGAAGATTCTAAACCCTGTGAACTACAGTCACTTCTAAAATAATGTGAAAAGCATAGAGCAGTAAATGCATAAGCCGCCACATGATCATTGGTTGCCATTTGTAAGTAGTAGGTCCTGCTGGTCATTGTGTGGGCCTGCTTTTTGGTAACCAGCATTGCAGGGGGTTTGTACACAAGAGCATCACCACTGCTGCATGAGGAACTCCCCAGGGACCCCCTGGGAGGCTGTAACGTCACTGGGCAGCAGGACCTCTCCAGCTCTGCTGTGATCTATGGGAGCACACACGCAGCCCATGGCTGAAGCACCACAGTGTAGCACCTGGTGCACAGCAGAATCCCTCTCCACAGGGCGCAGGGGGCGTCCCGGGCCATGCCCAGACCCTGACGCTGCCCCGGGGTCTCTCTCCTCCCCAGGTGCTGTGCGCAGTCACCGCAGGCGCCCTGCACTACCTCTACCTGGCCTCCTTCACCTGGATGCTGCTGGAGGGGCTGTTCCTCTTCCTCACCGCGCGGAACCTCACTGTGCTCAGTTCCTCCAGCAGAAACAGGCTCATGAGGAGGCTCATGTTCCCTGTGGGCTACGGGGTCCCAGCCACCATTGTGGCCGTGTCTGCAGCAGCCAGACCTCACCTGTATGGCACCTCTACTCGGTAAATACTCACCCCACTTGTCCTTCTCCTCTCGAGCATGTCCACGGTCATCACTTGAGCCAAAGTAGCCTTTTGAGTATTTCAGAGCTTAAGCAGTAGAGTGTACTGTGACATATCACACATACAGGGAGTCTGGCTTACGTCCTTGTGGTTATGTGTGGTGTGGAGTGACTCTGGTCGTGGATTCCTACATGAACACAGCAAAGTGATGTTGTTCTCTCTCTTGCTCAGCTGCTGGCTCCGTCCAGAACAGGGGTTTATGTGGGGCTTCCTTGGACCTGTCTGTGCCATCTCTTCGGTGAGTAATGTCATCAGAGTTCCTTCCTATCCATCTGAGGGTCAGTAGAAGCACAGGATATTAAGGATGGTGACAGAACAGGAATACTCCTGGATTGTTATGGGTTGCATTGGGTTTTCCAAGATTTCTACATCTACAAATTCTAACCCTATTGTCAAATACTAAAACCCACTCAGGTGCAGAATTGATGCTGCAAGGGTTAGAATGGAGAGAGAACAGATTTAAATTTTTATTCAGTAAAAATTTTCCATGGGGAATGGGGGTGTAGCTCAAGGGCAGGGAGCTTGCCTGGCATACGCTAGGGTCTGGGTTCCCTCCCCAGGACTGCAAAAGAGAAAAGAAAATATTAATAAACCTCCTGCGATTTCTTTTGGTAAAAAGAAAGAGAAGGTAGAATCCATTCTGATACAATTATACAAGCATGGAATATACCTTATCTAGTTAGGAGCCCATTCTCGTGAATGTACATGATAGTGGGATTCACTGTGATGTGGTCATATATGTACACAGGAAAATTATGTCAGGTTCATGCTGCTGTCTTTCCTCTGTGGTTTCTTGAAGGTCAATATGGTTTTCTTCCTGATGACCCTCTGTATTGTGAAGAGCAAGCTGTCCTCCATCAACAGAGATGTGTCCACCCTCCAGAACACGAGGTGAGATGGACCAGAGGACATAGATGACAATGATGCCCAAGAGCAGAGCCATGTGCCTGAACAGCCCCTTATGTCCCTCCTCTGGGGCTTCTGAGTGGCCCACAATTAAGAAATGCAGCTGCGCTTCTATGGCTGCCATCACAGACTCAGGGCTCTGCTGCTTACTCCAGTTGATCCTCCATGGGGCAGGGTTGTTCCTTCACTCAGCATCTTGTGGAAAATTCATGCTCTTTCTTCTGGGTTCCTCAGGTTAACCTTTCAAATTTTTGCATATCATCATTTACTTGTATTAGACACTTGAACAGAGCATACGATTAATGAAATCAGAACTTTTGCCCTGTATTTATTTCTGAGATACAGTCTCACTATGTTTCCCAGGCTGGCCTCCAATTCCTGGGCTCAACTAATCCTCTTGCCTCAGCCTCCTGAGTAGCTGGGGCAACAGGTGTGCACCCCCGCTCCCAGCTTCTCTTTGTGATTTTTTATGTCCAAGCCCTAGCACGGGGCAACCTCAGTAATGCTGGATTAATGAAATTAGGGATCTTCATGGAACATCGTAAAACTCTTTGAAGTAAGCTGTCCTGGGTCCAAGTCAAAAAGCTATCCTGGCCCCAAAATGGCATTTCTACTGTCGAGTATCATTGAGAGTAAAGATCAGAGTTCAGTCCAATAAATCGCTTACAGGGAATAGTAGATGCATTCAGGGTGGAGAGAGGAATAGCCTGATTTTGTTGTGGGTGCATTATAAGCCTCCATTCTCCCCCAAACTAGGGTGCTGACATTTAAAGCAATGGCTCATCTCTTCATCTTGGGCTGCACCTGGTGTCTGGGTGTCCTGCAGGTGGGCCCCATTGCCCCCATCATGGCCTACCTCTTCACCATCGTCAACAGCCTGCAGGGCGTCTTCATCTTCCTGGTGTACTGCCTCCTCAGCCAACAGGTACCCCTGCCCAGCTCCCACCCATGCCTCCCCACCCGGATCCCTCTTTGTGAGCTGACCCAGAGTGTGGGTTGCAGGTCCAGGAACAGTACAAGAAATGGCTCAAGAGGATTTGGAAATGGACAACTGAATCTGAGTCCTACACTCTGTCTAGCAAGGTTGTGTCCGACACTTCCAGACCCAGCACGGTAGGGTCACTCCCTGATCCCAGAGCTCATGTTCCCTGGTATTGGCATCATTTCTCTCCTCCTGTCCACAGACCATGCTTCCCCTGCCTCCTAGACTCCACCATCATGCCTGCCTGTGCGCTCACCTTACATGATTCTCTCTCCCTCCCTCCTCTCCACCTCCTTCCCACTTATTATCATTGTGTACCCACCCTTATCTGAGTCTCCTAAAGACCCTGGTGATGACCTTAGGCTCACCTGGACAATCCAGGATGATTTTCTCATCTCAAGATGCTTAACATGCATGATCCCACTCATATGTGAAATGCAACATTGATCTCATAGAAACAAAGAGAAGAACAGTGGTTCCCAGAGGCTGGGGAGGAGGGGGTGGGAAAAGCTTGATCAGCAGGTACTAAGTTACAGTCAGGAGAAAGAAGCTCTGCGGTGTGTCGCACAGTAGGGCCACTAGACCACAAAGTGTGCTGTGCCTTTCCAACAGCTCTGAGGGGCTGGGGGCCAATCCGTAGGAGGCACTTGCCTGGCATGTGCAAGGTCCCGGGCTCCATCCCAGCACAAAGTCTCTTTAAAAGACAAAGAAAGGATTTTCAGAGTTTTTACCATAAATAACTAATGCATGTTGGAGGAGAAAGTTATGTTTCACCTGATGTAAACACTCACACTGTAGACAGGCAGGGAAACAGCACATTGTACATTAATATGTGCCATCTAAATAGATTTAATGTAAACTTAGATTTTTAAATCTTTAACATAAGCCTACTTGAGAAGTTCCTTTTCCAGGCATGGTGACACTCACAGGCTGTGGGATAAGGGTGTGGACGTCTGTGGGTCATTATTTTGTCTATCACACCAATTACGTACGTTGGCTTTCTCTCTCATGGAGCTGTCAAAATCTGCCTCATGTTGTAGATAATTTAATAGATTCACCACCCCCTCCATCCACCACAGCCGTAGGAATTCTGTACACATTGAGGAAAACAAACACGACTTTTTGTCTAGAAAATAGGAAGCCATCAGATGGGGAAATTCAGGTGTTTCTACCACCTTGGGCACTAGACCGCTGTGTTGGTTCCCTGATGTCATTTTATCTTCCAATGTCTCCTTAAACTGGGCATCTCCAGGGTTTGAGTTATTGGAGTATCTTCCTCTCATTTTGGAATCCCTCCCTTGGCTCATTTAATAAATACAAAACATTTGTCTTGTAATCAGCTCTGAATAATTTTCTGAAACACAGCATTCATAAGGCTCGAGTGAGGTTGCCCATGGAAAACACTAGAAGTGTGCCGAGCTTCCACAGACGCAGGAATAAATAACTCCCTGGGGACAGGGAAGATATGGAAAGAGAATTCATCACTCCTTCCTTTAGTAGTAGGTGATGGGCAATAGATAACAATGGCAGCCTTTCCTTAATGTTCTTCCTGCTCTCAGACAGAAGCCAACACAAACCCTGAAGTGGGGAGATCAAATCCAATCAGATCCATCTCTTTTTTTTGGCAGAGAGGTACCAGGGATTGAACTCAGGGGCTCAACCACTGACTCACATCCCACCCCCACACTGTATTTTATTTAGAGACAGGGTCTCACTGAGTTCCTTAGCGCCTCACAGTTACTGAGAATGGCTTTGAGCTCATGATCCTCCTGCCTCAGCCTCTCAAGCTGCTGGGATTACAGGCAGGGACCACCATACCTGGTTCACATCCATCTTTTGAAAGATACATTTTTGTGCGTTTTTGCAGCACATTTACCTGCTCTTGTCTTCTGTAACTTAAGGGTTAGGAGATAAGGAAGATGAGACTTCTGAGAAAGACCAAAATCAACAAAA